AAGTAACACTGTTTTCAGTATTGCTCATTGAGAAACATGTGCTTATAAAAGTATAGAAACAGGCTTGGAAGCTAGAGCCATATTTATGATGGTGAGTCCTTTTGCTGAGGAAGGAGTCATAAAGTTAAGGAGCAGAGGGGACTTCAGAGCTTTAACTGCAATCTTATCATTTTTTAAAAAAAACGTAAAAGTAATGGTGTTAAGATTTCAACAGATAATTCTGAGAGGTGAAAATATAAGCGTTTGTATATCATTCATGGTCATTTTCTGCATATTTTTTCAGAAAGGGAATATAAAAATGTATTAGTCAGCTGTCCATATTGTAACAAAGTACTTGAGATAATCACCTTAAAAGGAGGAAAGATTTGAAGGCTTAGGAGTGAAGCTCAGTAGTAGAGCACTTGCCTAGCAGGTGTGTGGCCCTGGCTTCCATCCCCAGCATCAGCCTCTTCCCATAAAAGTGAAAAGGTTTATTTTTGCTCATGGTTTCAGAGGTTTCAGTCCACGGTCACTTGGCCTATTGCTTTGGGTCTGTGGTGGCACAGTACATAATGTTAGGAGCATGTGTTTAAGAAAACTGCTTACCTCATGGTGGCTGGAAAGCCAAGAAGGAGAGAGGAAGGGGCTCATCTCTCCTTCCCATGAGGGTTTGTCTCCAGTGACCTAACTTCCTTCCACTAGGCCCCACGTCTTACCACTTCTACCACCTTCCAATGCCACAAGCTGGGGACCAAGTTTTTAATACATAGGCCTTTGGGGAGCACTTATTCAAACCATAGCAAAAAAGGCTTTCCTTTACAAACAGAAATGGTAGGCTTAGAAAGTCACAGGCTTGACATTTCTTTCTTTCAAGGACCATCAACAAATACTAAAGTTACCTTATCTGTTGGGGACCAGGATATTCACAGAGCACCAAAGTGTCACGCACATATGACACTAATTACAAAGGGGGCAATGTACCTCTCATGAGGACTCCTGTGGGGGACACACTGGCTGTGTACCTCCAGGAACTCCCAGAGCACAGAGGAACAAGTTAAACAGTGCCAGAGAAAACCATCAGAGAGACTAGACATGGGATATTCCCAGCCTCTTCATCAATCAGTGTTAAACAAACCCAAAAAGGAAAAGAAGGTAAAAGAAAAGATACAAGAACAAAAGGCTGGGAACTACTCTAGACACACACACACACACACACACACACACACACACACGCACATATGACAAAGAAGAAATAGCAGAAAAATGCAAAATGTGACCTTCAGTTGTATTCTTATTCAAAGGAAGCCAGCAGGAAAAACTCCCAGGGATAATTGGATATATTTGCTTATAGACTAGATATTAGATGTTATTGAAAAATTAACTGTTGGCTACTGTGGGTGTGATAATGGTAGTATGTAAGAATTTCCTTTCTTTCTTCCTCCCTCTCTCTCTCTCTTCCCTCCCTCCCTTACTTCCCTGTCGTGTCATAATGTCTGCACATCATTTTCAGTGCCTTCACAGGAAGATAGCTTGTTAGAGACAGAGACAGATGTGGACAGATAGATCCTCAAATGTGAAAAGTTGCTGAACCAGGGGGAGGTGTCATGGGCATTCATTATGCTTCCCTTTTAAGCTAGCCCGCATTTTAAAATTATTTCATAATAAAAATTGATCAGGAGAGAGGATGGTAGTGCACACATCTAATCCCAGCACTCTGGGAAGCTAAGGCAGAAGGATCCTAAGTTTGAGTCCAGCTTGGGTAAATTAGTGACTTAGTAAGTCCCTGTCTCAAAATAAAATATATTTTTAAAAAAGGACTGGGGATATAGTTTAGGGCAAAGGCCCTGGGTTCAATCTCCAGCTCAGAAAAAAAAAACGTTGAGGGAAATTTTTTCAAATAAAAAGAGCACCTAGGTCTTTCCACAGAAGACTGGAGACTCTTTTTCCTCTTTCACTTCAATTCGCCCCATATTTATTGAACACTTACTGTGCATTAGAAAGATTTTCTTAAATCATACAGCTCTAAGAAATCTTTGAAACATTTAAGTTTAACCTCATTTTTAAAAAATTGAGATAAAATCTTCATCATATAAAAGTCATCATTTTAACCATTTTAAGGAACACATTTCAGTTGTTTTTAGTAAACCCACAGGTTGTACAACCATCATGACTGTCTTAGTCCAGAATATTTTTATCACTCCAAAAGGAAACCATGGAGTCACTCCTCAGACATTAGTTGGGGACTCTTATAAAGAAACTGCTGTTTCCTTCTTTGAATTGAGTTTTGCTAAAATAACGGTATCTGGCGTTTCTGAGAAATGAGTACCAATGGAAGAAACAGCTAGGTTAGCAACATAGGAAATCTAGCACATGTGAATTATGTAAATTGCAATAATGAAAATGAGGGCTTTCACTGCATGTCTAAGAAATATCCTATTTTGGATACTCTTGCTTTTCTCTTACCTTAAGAACTGACTCAGAGAAGCTATACAGGATGGCCTCAAAGGGTTCTTCAGGGTGACAATACTGTAACACCCCAGTGTGATGTGAGACCATGTCACTGGGAAACACTGGCCAACATGAGAACAGTGTCTGCAGTTGAATAATTCCATTTATGCAACTCAAGCCCTTCAAAGAGACATGAAAAAAGTAAAATATATATTAAACCAACAGATGTAGATCAATGCCTGGAACATAGTGAGTACTATATAAATTCTTCCTATTATCATTATTCCTAGTGAACATTTTATTTTGTTTATTTTATTTTAAAAATTATTATTATTAATTTGTGGTAGTAGGGATTAAGCTCAGTACCTCTGGACTGAGGACTATTCCCAGCCCTTTTAAATTTTTTTTATTTTGAATCAGGATCTTACTAAGTCACTAATTTACCCAGGCTGTCCTTGAACTTGTGATTCTCCTGCCAAGTGCTGGAATTACAGGTGTGCACCACCATGTCCAGACAAAATGAGTAGTTCAAGAGCTTGTTAAAAATGATCTGGCCTGAATGCCAAGATATATTAAACAAAAAATTCTCATGCAAAACAGTTGGTATGTTTAATTTGTATAAGCCAGCAACTGTTAAAAAGAAGTTGTGGAGGGAGAGGACAGGGGGAAAAGAGGGGAAATTTATCATCTAGCGACACATACATGCACCTGAGTGCCTGGGCTTGACGAGAAGGTTGGAAATGGCAGGTCTAAAGTGTCTGGATGAGAGAGAAATTTACTTCTCACTATATTTCCTTTTACACTGTTTGAATTTTTCCTTTATCACGTGTGCACTTTAACTGTTTAATTTTACCTATATAAGTGAACCAGCTCTCCAGCCTCGAGGCTCTAACCCCCCTCCCCCCCTTGACTGTGGAGTCTATAATTAGAAGCCTGCCTGCCCCTGGGGGATGGCTCAACCAGGGCTGGTTTCAGAAATGAGGTTTGGAAAGTGAAGAATGAGGTTCAGAAACCTCCAGTGCTGTTCGAGGGAGCTCCTGCTGACAAAAGCATCAAAAAAAATGACCAGCAGTGAGATAGGAGGGGCTCATTCCCTTCAACTCCCAAGTGCCCCGGCATCAGGCTCAACTGGGTTTGTCTGGTTCTTATTTCATGTAGAGCACACGTTGACCTTGAAACCTGGGAGTGTTCTGTGTGACCAGATGACAGGTGTGGCTCCAGACAGCAGCACCAGGCTGGCTGAGGCCAGTTCCATTTCTGGAAGGCACAGTCTGCTTAAAAGGTGGATAGGAGTTTCTAACAGAGCGAACCCTAGGGGGCCAGATGCGTATGAGGGAGTAAAACACCAGTCTGGAAGGCTGAGGAACAGTACAAGTATTCAGAAGTAACGCTGGGCTTGCCCTGTTTCAACAGGCAGACTGTTCCTGGCAATGGAGTTTATTGGTCACCTTCTTCTAAACCCAGTTGTGGTTTTGTTACTTTTATTGACACAAGTGATGAAAATCTCCCATATGGGATAAGGTCCTCTTGGAACACCATCTCTAGCTCTGGAGTGCAAGGAGAAGCCACTGTCATTATGCACGTCCCTCAGACTTCTGTGGCACTGCATCCTAGGCATGTGATCCTGGGCAGCACAGAGCTGGAGTGCACGTGCACATTGTGTGCATGCAGTTTGCTTTAGGTGTTGTTTTATTAAAGGTAAAGTATCATGCTATAAACTTCTTTTTTCTCTCTACAGTCTACCCTGATGAGCTTATAGATCCATGTCATTCTCTTTAGCTACTGTTTGTCCTGCTCTTTATAGCCTGTGCCCCTGCTATCAGCCATACTCTGTGGATAAACATTTAGACTGTTCTCAGTCTTCTGCTGTCAATACAAGGCTTCAGAGATGGAGAATTTTGGGGGCACAGGGGAAGATGTATGTTCTACATTTTAATAGGCCCAGCAGATTGCCCTCCAAAATGCTGCTTCTCAATCACATCTGCCAGGGGAAAATAAATTCACATTTCTGTAGATCACCTCCAGCACTTGGTAGGATCAAATTTTAAAAATTTGCCAACTGATGAACCAAACATAACCTCTCCTTCACCCTGCTTAGTGCTACTGATCAAATCTATGACCTCACAGGCAAGCACTCTACCACTGAGCTATACACCTAGCCCTCTTCTAGCTATTTAGAGCTGTACATTATTGTTAACTATAGTCACCCTATTATGTAGTAAAACACCAGAACTTACTTATTCATTCCATCCAGTTAACTTGGTGCTTGTTGACCGACCTCTCTCCTTCCCCAGCCTCTGGTAGCCACCTTTCTACTCTTAACTTCTGAGATCAACTTCTTTAGATTCCACATGAGTCAGAACATTTGGGTCTTTTGTCTTTCTGTCCCTGGCTTGTTTCACTTAACGTAATGTCCTCTAGTTCTATCCATGTTGATGCAAATGATAGCATTTCTTTCTTTATAAAGGCTGAACAGTATTCCATGGTGGATATGTGCCACATTTTCCTTATCCGAATCTGTTGATGGAGAGGTAGGTCAGTTCCGTATCTGGACTACTATGAATATTGCTGTTATGCATCTGAAAGTGCCTGGTGGGTTTGTCTCCCCTGGAAGGTTTCAAAAGGCTTGGGAAGGTCCTAGAAAACAGGGAAGGTCCTAGAATACAATTCAGGGTCACAGTGTTAATCCTTGCTGTCATTTGTAGAGAACTGAGTGTGTCATGAACTTGCTCTAAGAATATGACTGTTAAACTCCTCTCATTTTCATAATGGCTTGTGAGACAGGCAATGTTTTTTACCTATTTCACGGAACAGAACATGGAGGCACAGAACACTACCTACAGAAATTGCCAACAAAGCCTAGAGCTAGTATGTGACAGACTCAAGACTCAAACTCAGGGTGCTTGGCTCTAGTCCTCAGCATCTTCAGTGCTCTGACAGGTGTGAGGAGAGGGCTAATGAAGGACAAAAATGAGCACCTAACAGGCTGGGCCATCAGGGATGGTTTCTGGGAGGGAGTGAGGCCTTCACTGAGTCTTGAAGGAGGGACAGAAGGAGAGGACTAGGCAATGAAATAGAAGTTTGTTCAGGACAGGGAAAGAGCCTGAGCCATGCAGATCTTAGGCTAGGTTTCCCAAGAGCTGGTTTGGCATAGGGTGTGTGGAGGGGCAAGAGATTGGCCCCGAGGTGGGCCAGGGGGCATCTGAAACTACCTGGGCCACACCAGAGATGTCTCATCCTAGAGCCAGGGGGTGGGATGGAAGTGGGGGCTGCTCTGTGCAAAACAGTGGACAGCGCTGACAGAACCTGGAGAGCTGCACCCATGCTGCCCAACCTGGCTCCTGGGGTTGAGTGCGCAGGCTCAGAGGTGGGAGGGAGGCCGCTGATTTACATCCTTCAGGTTGAGGGAAAAACCCAGGAAGTGCAGCCTAGGCACTAATCAAATCTCAGGCTAATAATAAACCCCCTGAGTAATGAGTAGTCTGGGACAGAGCAGGCAAGGAACCAGAGCCACAGGGGCCGGAGGCGCATTGTGAGTAGCAGGGACGGGGGTGGGGGCATGGGAAGGGGCCTAGTGGTGGGGGTCTGAAGGGGCCTCTGGCCTGCAGCCAGGCACGTGCAGAGCCTGAGTCTGGACCATTTGGGGGTGTGGGTCTTGCTTTCCAGGAGAGGAATCAGCTGGAGGGTGCCATAGTCAGGATTTTTCCCTTTGGGATGATATGGCTCCACTTCCCTCTTTTACTGGATCATTTTAAAGCGAATCCCCAACATCAGGTGGTGTGGTTTATAGACATCTCAAGATTCATCTCTTAAAAATTCTAAACAATCCCCAAAACTAGACATCATGCTATTATCACTATTAAATGTTATCTAGTAGCCAGTCAGTGTCCAGACGTACCTAATTTTTCTGTTAGTGTCTTTTTCATTGATTTGTTCAAATCAGGATTCCAGCCCCCTACCACATTAGACGTTTGGTTGTATGTTGTAACCTAGTTGAGTTCCTGCTCTGTCTCATCATTGTTGTTGTTTCTTCCTTGCTGATTATTTGTTAAGGAAACGGGACTGTTTATCCTGCAGTGTTTCATCAGCTTGGGTTTTAAAGGTTTGCTCAAAGGCAGATGTTACTTGGAAGACCCTGCCTCTTAGAGCAGATGAGAGGGCTCCTGTCCTTCCGTGTGGGTGGACCCAAGGCCCATGTTGGGAAGGGCACAGCCTAGGTTCCTGAGCTTGGAGCATGTCTTTTCTCTGATTCTCATCTGTGTCCTGCAACAACTTGTCCAGACACATCCTGAGCCAAGGGGCTCAAGTACTTGAAGTTTCTTAGAGAGCTGGACATGGCAGTGATGGAAGGTTCCTTGACATGGGATGAAATGATCCTGGGTACCATGACCAGGGGTTGAGAGCCTAGCACCCAAAGGCTGCTTCAGGCTGTGGAATCAGCCAGCCAGGAAGGAAGGAGTTCCAGCTCCTACTGTTCATAGATTGGCTCTGCAACCCTGGGGGAGAACTTTTCCTGGCCTATGACATGGAGAGCAGCTGCCACCCCGTAGATGTCCCTCAAAAACACAAAAGCATTCTAAATCTGTCAGACCCTCTTTTGAAGAATCACAAGGAAAGGCTCTGAGAAGGCCTGCAGTTTAAAAAATGCTTTGACTTTTACTTAACTGAAAGTATTTTTATTGTAATATTTCTTATTTTTTTTAACCAACATAAAATAGGGATATAATTTTCTTGCTTGTAGTTCTCATATAACAATAAAAGCTAAAGCCTTTACAAATTAAATTAAACAAAAATATAAAACCAATAGAATGAAAATGCATCACATTAATTTATTTAATAGAAATTTGCTTAATTAAATTTAATAGAAATTTGCTTAATTTGCTTTAATAGGAATTTATTTGCTCAAATAGAAAAAATATTTTGCATAAAAGAAATAAATTGCAGGAAAACAGCTGTAGTTTCAAATCTCATTCTGTTCTAAAACTGTTGGAATATTTTTTCTTTAAAGAATAATGTTGAGCTCAATGCCCAGTACTCCCCTCCACCAAAAAAAAGAATAATGGTGACAGTGTTCACATAATCTTAACTAGTACTGAGAAATTCAAGTCTTTCCTTTCTCTTTCAAGGTAATCAGAACAGAGTAGTAGCTCGTCTTGTTATTTGTCCATTTTACAAAGGCATAAATTGATTGAAAAAATAAAAATGTCTTTACTGAAACCTCCAAAAGAGAGTGTTGAACCCGATTTGGGTCAGAAATATTCTTTGCTCTTATCTGTTGGAGTGTTTATTGCTGATGAGCAACTGCAGAGGAGACCCACCAAATCATGGTGCTGGCATGGTCCAGGGCTTTTTTAAGTAATGTAAGCTACTATCTGGCTGTGACTTTCTTTAACCAAGGATTTTTCTAACTGCTTTGGCCACAGAGGTCTTTCTTGGTATATAGCACCTGGTAACTAGCCAAGCATACCAGGAAGGCCCCTCAGAGGGATCTAAGAATCGTCCCTCATGGCTGCTGTCTGGTTTCAAAGTACAGGGAGAGCCTCCCCCTGTGCCTGAGCCCTGCCACAGCCAAGTGTGAGCCTAGCTACAGGCTCCGTGAGTGAAAGGAATTCCTCCTTTCTCCCCTGTTCACCAATAGAGCTTCTTTCTCAAGCTTTTGTTCCCCTTGGCTGGTGTCACTTTTGGGGGATTTCCCGCCCCTCTCTGGGACAGGATGGAGGCTCTGGGATTTTACAGAGGCCCAGGTGGGGGTAGGCAGAAGAGAGCACCTTGTGGTCAGTTGATTATCCTCCATGTGGTCAGTGGGTCACTCTCTAAATGTCCAGTCCAGTGGGCTTTGGTGGCTTGCAGGCTGTGAATGAGCCATGGAGCCTTTTTGGGGCTGCCCTTGTACCATCAAACCTGCTGTCCACTAAGCCATCAACTTGCAGTGAGTCCAAGGTGAGAGTTAGTTCCCTCCCTCTCATCTCCTTGCCCAAATTAAAAGCGGTATCTTTTTAATTTTGCTTGATCTTTGGAATTTGAAATTCACTTTCGAATAGGTAGTATAGTCATAGGGGTTGACACCGAGAAAGGATAGAAGACACACAACAGAAAGTCCTTCTTCCCTCCTCTCCCCCATCTGCTCACCACCTGCCCCCCAAGACCAACAGCTTTATGAGACATAATTTGCACGCCCTAAAATTTATCCACTTAAGGCATACAATTCTGTTTTTGTATATTTACTGAGTTGTGCAGTCATCACTATACTCTAATTTCAGGACATTTCGATACTCCAAAAAGAAGTGTTGTCACCTTTCACTACTGTCCACCCTAGCTTAAGATTACCACTCATCTTCTTTCCATCTCTATAGTTTTGCCTGTATGGGACATTTTATAGCAGTGGAATCAGGTGATATGTGGCATATTGTGACTTTCTGTCCCCTCTTAGTGCAATGTTTTCAAGGACCGTCCACATTGTAGCATGTATCAGAATTTCATTCACTGTCATGGCTATATAATATTTATGGATATATCACATTTTGTTTATCCATTCATTGATCAATGAACATTTCCTGTCTTTGGCTCATTGGTAATGCTTCTGTGTACATGTGTATACAAAGAATGAATATGTCTTCAGTAATTTGTGTGTGTGTGTGTGTGTGTGTTAGTGGGGGTGCTAGGGATTGAATCCAGGGCCTCACACATGCTAGGCAAGCACTCTGCAACAGAGCTATATCCTCAGCATCTCCATAATCTTTTAAAATAGTTGCAGAATAGTCTAGTAGGTAAGTGTACTGTAGTTTACTTAGTCAATCCCCTACTGACAGATAGTTGGGTTACTGCCAATCTTTGGTTATTACAAACATTACTGCAATGCATTCATCAGTTTTCCCTGTAGGATAAATCTGGGTTTAATCCCTGGGTCATCAGTAATTTTGACAAATATTGTCCAGAGGTGCTCCATGAGGGTTAGCCAATTTACTCTCCTTCCACAATGAGTGAGAATGCTGCTTTCCTTATGGGTTTGCCAACAGAAGGTGTTATTAAACCTTTGGATTTGAAAAACTGTAGTGGAGGAAGATGATACCCATGTGACTGCAGCTTGTCTGTTCTTTCTGAATGAGAGCATGCATCTTGACGTGATACTTTTGTCCATAGACTGTCTCTTTCATGACCTTTGCCTATTTTTCTACTGAGTAGTTGGTGTTTCCCTTTCTGGTAATCGCTCATAGAAGAACTGCAAGTGTTTTGTCCCATTTTTCATACGTCTTTGGACTTTCCTTAAGGTGTTTATTTCCATGAAGAAGGTTTTTATTTGTTTGATTGCTAATTTTTTGCAATCTGTTTTATCAATCTTTCCTTTTATGAATTTTGGGTTTGGGGGTCGTAGTTAAAGGCCTTTTATACTCCAAGGTTGTAAAGAAATCATCCAATAGTTTCTTCTCTATAACTTTTTATATTTTTATTTTCTCACCTTTAAACTTTTGGTTGGGTTGTTTCTTCATCTGGGAGAAATTATTTCCTATGTGTGTTTCTGCTTAGTCACTTTCTTCTGAGTTTGGAAAGCAAGAGCTAGGATTCCTGATTTCCTATCCCAGGAAGGACCCTCTGAGGTCCTGCTAAGATGGAGGAGGTACAGGTGGGAAGGGTTGACGCAGGGTAAGAAGGTGCAGCACTGCTCATGCCACTGAGTTCCACTCAGTCTGCACAGAGGACGCCTATGCACAAGGGAGTCATTCATCTGTAAGCACCTTCTGTGTACCTGGTACTTGGGAAGGCATCAGATTCAGAGATGAATGAAACAATGGAAGTAGAATATTTTTAAAGTTAATTTTTAATTAATACATACAAAGATAGTACTTGTTAATGGGTAACCATGTGATGTTTTGACACGTGTATAAATTGTAGACGTATCTATCTTCTCAAACACTTATTTCCTTATGGTAACACCTTTCAAAATTCTTTCTCTAGCTTTTGGAAATGTAAAGTATACTGTTATTACCTGTGGCCATTCTCCTGTGTCTTGCTCCTATTTAACTGTAAGAATATTGTCATTAATATTACAATTCTTTTATAGTATTATATGATCATTATTAACCCATTATATTTTATACTATGTATGTGAGAATAACCATTCATAGTAACACCATGCCTTAAGCCAGCTACATGTCAATCACATGTTGTAGCAAAGCAGAGCAGCTCAGTGCTATAGCCAAGTGTTAAAGCTTTGAAGCACAGCCAAGTGTTACAGCTCAGTATCACAACTACAGAAATTTGAAGACTGAAGAATCCAAAGGTCACTCAAAGAGGTGGAGAAAAACCATGTATTGCTCCATTTGGCTCAGAGGAGATAGTATTCTAAAGTCTGAGCACCTCACCAGAAATTGAAGCCTCCTTATATAGGGATCTAGGGGTAGGCAAGCATTTTCACTGAAGCAGAGGGGGGTGGGGTCAGAGTTACGGAAGATTCTCGAAAGGGGCAGAGCTAACAGAACATTCCTGAGAGGTCACACAGTTCAAACAGTTTCAAAACATTTTGATACATTGGGC